ACACACACACACACACACACACACACACGCCCCTAATAAAACATCTCCATCCCCACAAAATTCATAGGAACAAAACTTAAAGGACAAAACAAAACCCACCAAGACCCACATGACAAACCAACACAGTAACCTGCGTTCCAGTCTATGAATATGATGTCATTGTCACCTTAGTGTTAAAGTAAAGGATTAACATAAGGAAACTGCAGCAATATATAAAAGAAAATACATATTCTCTATAGAGCATATTTAGATTGAGTCCATTAAAATAATGACATTAGAATTTCATCACAGGTTTAAAACCAGGACAATACTACTCTTTCATTTTCTTTATTTAAAACTACAACTTAGTGACTGTATTGGTCATAAGCATGATTGTTGTTGCAATGTGCTACTTACAATGACTGATACCAAATTAATAGCCAGGGATCCCGTCTGCACCTCCCAACTGTTCCTCTTTTTACTTCAATAGGCATCAATGATAAATCAATCTTATGTACAATTTCTTACAGCTAACCCTTTTACCTTTGGCAAGATTACTTACAACTCATACAACTTTTTCATATTGAGAACTATTTAAAATATTCTAAATGCATAAAAATAAAGATTTTGGCTTTTTTGATATATATTTATAATATTTATTCTTACTCAAAATGGAAGCTCAACTTTACCCTTAAAATATAGCTCTGCTGGGCAGCTGCTGATGTGCCCTCCTGGGGATTGTGGCAGCACAGCCTGCCTCTTGTCTCTGGCCCAGCACAGGCCACCCTGTTCTTGATCTCTAAGATAGGCCAGTACTGAGAGGAGGCAGTTGAGTGGCCTGAAAACAAAGGGAGATCGTTTTGCTTCCCGTTGTGTTTTATATTCCAGTAAATGTGCTTTGATTACAGACTCCTGTTCAGATACATCTGCCTCTCTGTTGCCAGAGATTTGTAAGGGGCTGAGGCAGGAAGGGGGGGGGACAGAGGACAACATTTCCTTGGCTCCTTTAGTCTAATTGCAAGACAGCTCTTCTTGAGGAATGGTTTTCTCCACTTTTTTTCAAAAATCACCCTATACAGCACTCCGTGCCTGGACATGCTCCTTGGGACCTTTGGAATTAGGGAAAAGTGTACTGATCGGGAACACAAAGTCCCCATTGCTCCTTTGACCTCCACCTCCTGCCTTTGCCTAAGTACAAACAAAATACATGAGCCATAGGGACTGCTCAAAGTTCAATTTCAAACGTCTTCTGTAAGTCACTGGAGAAAGGGTTGGTGGGGGAGGGGTTAGTGCGCTGCTTGGACCTGCTTTCTAAAGCAGCCCACTGGGCTTCGAAAGGATCCACTGGGCAGGTGCCCACAGGAGCCTCTGTGTGCTTGTCTCCTGAGGCCAACCTGCCATCATCTACACCATTGAACGCTGCAGAACCGTTGAGGTGCTGAGCAGGAGGCTTAAAGAAGGGACTGGCAGTAGCACTGCTTGTCTCGTACTGAGGGAATGTCTGCTGCTTGACCAGGCTGGGAGATTGATGGGGGTGAGCAGCCTGAGGATGGCCTGCAGTGCCAAACACGTTGGCTACCATCTGGGAGGGAGTGATGCCCACCACAGGCACATTAGGGGCTGGATAGGGCATCCCGTTGGCCACAGGGTAGGCCTGGGCAGGGGCAAAGGCTGGCTGCAGGGGCGGAACCACACCCACTGGCACGGGCTGTGAGGTGAGGAATGAACCCCCTTGGAACGGCGGCGCTGGCTGGGAGATAGCAGTAGGTGGAGGAGGCTGGAGAACTGGCTGCAGAGGGACAGCGGAGGCCGGGGGCTGCTGGGCCCGGACGTTCTTGGACACCTCTTCTAACCAGCGGTCGGCCTCAGAGGGAGTGCGTCTGTGACCAGCCTGGAAGGGATCTGGAGAGGCAGCACCAGAAGACTGACCCCACTCGGTCCCTGGAACCAACAAAATAGAGACAGAAAAATGAGGCTTTGGGGGCTCCTTTCCTCAGCCGATCATCTTGGTTACTGGAACGATCCTAACATGTGGAACAAATTCCTGTAGTGGGATCTTCTATGGTTTGGGTAGCGGGGAGGAAAGCCTCCATTACTCGCTGAGGAGGTTTTGTGGTAGGACAGCAAGGACTTGTCAGACCATGCTGCTGTCTCAGCCACACGGAGGAGCTGTTCAGATATGGCTCAACTGCACTGAACCAAGGCCGCTGGCTGGCCTCAGAACCCCTTCCTGTTGCTGGGGCTCAGCCATGGTACAGAAACCACCTTACACAAGCTCTGAAGGGCCCAAGGTGACTCACCTTCTGCTCTACCAGAACGAAAAGAAAACAATCAGTGACTTGGTGCTGTACCTCGTGGCCCATCTGGCTTCCAGACACATGCTGTCTTTCTGGTGAACTCCCTTTATTACTGTTTAATTTTTTTTTGGTTTTATAGTTAAATGTTCATTATAGAAACACTAGAAAGTACAGAAAAGGAAAAGTAAAGTGCTTTTTATAGCTCTTTTTGTAGACCTGCCACTGTAGGAGGCAGGGTCCCCTCTTCATACAGGCATGTCCACGTATCTCCAAATCCAGGGATACTCTTTTGGGTAGGACCTGGGAATCTGGATATGGGTGATTCTGTTCTATAGTCTTAAGAAGTGTCAATTTAAACCTCTTTAGTTCTTTCTCCTTCTTCATCCTTTCTTAATAGTAGTTTATTTCCAGGAGGGAACACATTTTTCCTAAAAGGACTCCTCCCTGGTTCCCACTCAAGTAAATGGCTGATTTTCGAACCAGGGCCACTTAACTGATCCCAGAATCCTCACCACCACCTGTGGCCACCTTACCCGAATGTCTGGCTGCAACTCCCTTGTTAACAGCATCAAGGGCCTGGGCCCAAGGGTTGGTTTCACGCACAGGCATTGCTACGGGTGCTAGAGCGGTATGGGCTGGCTTAGCAGCAAGCACATGGAAGGCTGAGTCAGTGCCATTAGCTACAATGGGAGCAGACAACATCAATGGAGTTAATTCATGCAGGGTGTACAGGTGACCCCTGGGAGCTGGGTCAGTCAGGCCAATGTGCAATACTTATGGGACAGATAAGACAGAAAAGTTGGTGCTGGGATAACCATTCCGTCTTGTAATGGATACACAAACCTTTTGGCAAAGAGGGAATCAGGGGTTGTAATTAAAATGGCTGTACTGATAAAAGTCAAATGACTGTTCTAGGAAAATATGTGTATGGGGAGAGAGGATACGAAGCCTAGAAAAACAAATCAAGCTGAACAGAGCTGCTTTGTCTTACTGTAGCAAAGAAGCCAAGATCTAACTCTTTTAGATATAGCTTAGCCTTTAGCATAATGACATAAACATTTCCCTCCTACCGCTTTTCTAAAAGATCAAATTATGCCAACAATAACAATGGGATAAATATAATGATTCCATACTGTGTGCTAAGCACTATATTAATAATACTTTAGCATGCATCATCTTGTTTAATTCTCTCAAAAAACCCAATAAGGCTGGTATTATCCTCATATTACAGATGAGAAATCAAACTTAGTAAATGTTCTCATTTGCTTAATAAGTTTGTAATTTGCCACAGAATTTCATCTCCCTTTTTTCAAGATTGTTTTTTTCCTTCGGTGATGTTCAGAATATGTCAAAGTACCTACTATTCTTTCCTCGTTTCCCTTTATGAAAATGTCCTGACTCTTGCTCCTTTTCTCCAGGCATCTACTCCATCAGCTTCTACTCCTCAGCCCAGCTATCATATTTAGTATGGAGCAGACAAGCAGGCAGCTTCCTGGGCCCTACACTATAATCATTCCCTCTCTAGGACCGGGCAACCATTCTTATGGCATCGGTACTGTTTACCCAGGGCTCGTCTAAGAAACCAGCTCACCTTTAGACTGGGAGCCACTATGTTCTGTTCAGTTTTATTCTTGTTGCCTTGTAAACAGGCATAGAGTCAGTAGAATGTAATAGGAGTTATATTCAGAAAGACCTGGGTTTAAATCCTGGCTGTGCAATTAGGGCAACGTACTTAACCTCTCTGAGCCCCATTTTTCTTATCTACAATGCCTACCTCGAAAGGTTGTTGTGGGATCAAATAAGATGAGAATATACAGGAGTCCTTACCATGATGTGGCAGGAACTAAGTGCTCAATAAATTGTGCCTATTATTATTGGTATTATAAATATTTGTTAGATGAAATGAAAAGCCCTTTGGTGCACATGATTATAAAAGTTGTTTTTCTTTTCTTTTCTTTCCTTTTTTTTTAAAAAAAAAAAAGAAAGAAAGAAACTCCCTGGAGGAAAAGCATGCAGTAGCTCCTCCAATAGAAGTGGGGTATGTCTTCACAGCAAAGCTTTTTCTGAGCTTTCTTTCAAAAGAAATGAAGAAATGGCAATTATAGGAGCACAAATCCTCAAAGTCTGTAATTTAAGTTATATAGACTCTGCTGATAGCTGAGTCAGTACTGTTAACTCAGTATCTCTGAAAACAACAACTTTTAGAACTCTTCAATGCCACAAAGTCAAATTTTAGGATGCTTGTTATACAAGATGAAATGAACTGAAGAGCCCAAAGCAGCCGCTTTTTCTTTATGAGCCTCTTGTGACAGGGTAGAGGCGAAGTGAAGCCAGGGCTTTTCAACCTTGACACTATTGATATTTTGGGCCAGATAATTCTTTGTTGTGAGGTTGGCTACTGTGGACGTTGAAGGATGTTTAGTAGCATCCTTGGCCTCTACCCAGGTGACAACAGCAATCACCACCTACCAAGTTGTGAAACCCAAAAATGTCTCCAGACAAGCAATGCCAAATTTTCCTTGAGGGTGCAAAGTCACCGTGGGTTGAAAATCACTGTGCTAAAGGAAGCATCATGCTGGAGCCAACTTGGAAGGCTGCTGCTTCTGGAGAACTAGCTGGACACTGACTCTGAACATCGAAGTGGCAAATAAAGCAGGGGGTTGGGACTCTAGATGCTCCTAAGAGAGCAGGAGGAAAGGTAGGCACATGCAAAGTGACGAGTGCAGGCATCTCAGGCAACAGGAAGGGGAACAAAGCACAAAGACACTCTCACGTGGGGAAATGAATGTACCAAACAGGGAAGTGAATGGGTCTGACCAGCTTGGGATGCCAACTTACAGTTAGTGAGCAGCGTCATAAAAGTGCTAGTTGCAAAGAGAACTGCCGAGCGGGCTAAGAGGGCACCAACCTTGAAAGGCAGGAGACTGTGGTGCCGCCACTGTCACTGGTTTGGTCATTGGGGCAGATGAGAAGGGATCCTCGGAGGGTGTGCTGAAGGCATTGGTGATCTGTGAGCACAGGGAGCTGATACTCTCTGCTTCCCCTTCTACCTCTGGCACTGCAAGACAAGCAGAAAATGGCTCCAAAAAACGGAATAATCCTGAAATACAGCGGTATGACACAAGATGGCACTTTATACAACATCCCTTATTTGTGGAAGGGAAAATCTCAACTGTCAGGTGGGGCTACAAAAGCAGCTTAAAAAAATTTACTAACCACGGTTTCATTGGCTTTTCAGATGAGAAGGTATACAATGTCAACAATTCATGTATTAAGGTCTATCTTCCTGCCTTGTAAATCCCCAGGTTTCTTTCTTTCCTTTCCTGTGCAACACTGATCAGGACTTGGTATTTTTTCCTGTGCCAAGATTTTCAGTTAGCTAGATATTTCTGGAAGACATCTGCACCTTGTCTGTCTTCCAATCAGTTCCCAAGGCTATAGTCCAAGTTAAGTTGTGGAGCTAAGTAGGAACTCTCTCAGGAAACGGGCTAAAGTCAGAGGCCCCCGTGGATGCTCGGTCCTTCTCTCTATAATAAGCTATGACAATGGCATCTCTCTCGTTTTCCTCCGAAGTACCAAGTATATGAAGTGTGACATCATGACAAAGCAAGCTGAAGTCCAGGACTCCAGAGGCTTTGTTCTTGATATTGACTCTGGGGTACATCTGTCTCACTGAGGAAGAAATTATGTGTCCTGAACCTTTGTTTGCTCACCTGTGAAAACAGGATAATAGTTTCTGTTTCCCATCTGCTCCAGAAGCACAGAAAACAGGTACTGGAAGCATCTAAAGTTCCAGTTTTTATAGGAGTTGAGAGCTGAAGAGATCCTTAGTCATCATCTAATCAACTGTTCTTTAGGCCTAGGTTCACCCACCGAAAGAGCTTAACTGTGCTTTTATGGCACCACCAGTGCGAGTGCCCTATTGAGACAGAGCTGCCCCACACTCTGTTGTAGCCCAGGCTGGATGTGTCTCAGAGCGAAGTAAAATAGACCCAATAAAAACACTGACCAGATCTGACACTTTAGCTCCGGATCTTATGATGAGGACAGAGCTACCAGGGCTGGCTCAGCTGTACAAAGGCCACACAAAGGACTGTGTGGCAGTTCTGAAAGGTAATGAATATGTGTGAGCAAGCCCACTCTCTGTCTCTGATGAACAACAGATCTTAGATTTATACAGGAGGCCCGTTTAGAGTTTCCTCCCTGAGGAGACAACCAGCCACGAGCACAATGAGCACAATGAGCGCTTATCCATTTCTTCTGGTACATCTGACAGTAACGCTATTTAACTGGATGTGTTTCCAAAGCCTTTTAAATTAATTCCCTGCTGGATCCCAAACAGGAGAATAAGAAGGGAAACTTGAGACCCTTGATGTGTGGAAGCAGGTTGGCTGAGGTAGTAACCCTTCCATCAGGACTAACCACAAACCGTGCAGCTCAGGCTAGGAATTCCCATCATGGCTCTGTTACCTGTCTGCTGAAGAGAAATGAATGGTTCACATCCCTCTCC